TTACATGTCGAAATCGAAATCATTCAAAAAATTCACTAATGAATTAGGTCATTTAACCAACTTTTACTCTACAGACGGACTTTAAATTGATCATGATTTCTATAAATGGATATCAATCTCATTCTTCATATGATGGTTGTGATGATTAACTAACAAATTTAGGGACTGATATCGATAGTCATTTGTTTATCTATTTCCTTATTTTCTTATTTCTTCCCACGAGTCAACAATAAGCCACTGATTGACGCATACAGGTATAAAACACCTTTTCTTTGACCGACCAACACACGATATTTTTTTGCTCCGAAGGGTAAATATATCTGTTTAGAAATAAGAAAAAAAAACGTGTCTGGCTTCTAATAGCGTTTTCTTTTTGCGCAGAAAACGTTATGTCACCACCACGTCGCTCTACTACACGGAATAACAAAAGGTTCATGCCTGCTGACTTCTTAAGACGTTTTGGTGGATCTCAGAATGCAGTATCAAATGCTAGTGCTGTCCAATATATTGGACCTCACAATGCATGGGCTACTCTCGTGCCTTCGGACAATCGTGGCTTACCGTCTATTTATCTGACTGAAAAGGTGAATTATTTGGGAAACCAACAGCATTATGAACCTGTATTTAAGGTAAATTGTTTTCTTTATTTGTTCTCTACTTGTCTTTCAGATCATTATTCATTTGTTTTTTTTCCTTTTAGCGGTTACCAGCTGATCCCAGAATAGATATGATTCATTGTTCAATCTTCAAAGTACGTATATATATATATTTTTTTTTCGCGTTGAATATTTAGGATATCGATTTCTAATCTGATAAGACATTTTTGTTTGGTTTTATTAGGAATATTCCGAGGGCACAGGAATGATCGTTAAATTGCAAAATCTCAGGTATATCCCGTTCCTTTACGTGTTTATGCGTGTTTTAATTATTCATTTATCAAAATTTTTGTTTGCTACAGTCGAACCGGAGCAGTTAAGGTTTTGGAGCGTGAACTAATGCACAACCAATTTGTTGAGTTAAATGAGGGTGATTGTATCAAATTTCCTTCTTCAAGAGGTGATTGGTATAGCTATTCCATAGAGATCGACTTAAAGCCGGAAGGAAGGTTTCATAATGATTATAAGATTAAAGGTGTTCTTGGAACTGGTCACTTTGGGGAAGTAAAGTTGGCTACTCTTGCGAACTCCGTAGGTAATGAGTCAAAGTTTCAAGAATTTGCTGTGAAAATCATTGATAAAAATACTGTGGCAAAAAAACCAAACGCGAAGCTTCATGACGAAATCATTATAATGCACAAGATAGAACATGTAAATTTTTTTTCATAAATATTATTTTTATTATTATCATTTTCATTGTTTTTTTTTTGACTGACTCATATTTAGATATTTTATTTAATTAGCCACATTTAGTTCGCATCCGTAACCTATATAATGAAGGTGAAAAACTATACCTTGTTATGGATTACATTAAAGACGGTGAATTTTTCGATTTTATATCAAAAAAAAAGAAATTAACTGAGTATGAGACTCGTGTTATTTTCAGACAGCTGTTTGAAGCGATGAAGGTATATTATATATATTTATGTATATTAATATATACATATATATTAAATCAATCATTTCTAACCTTTTTTATTTAGTATCTGCATGATCATCGCATCGTACATCGAGATCTTAAACCTGAAAATATCCTTATGTCAAACAAAGCAGAACTTCAAGTCAAAATAACGGATTTCGGCTTGTCGAAGCTTCTTGGCCCTGAATATTCTTTGATGAAAACTATGTGTGGAACACCTCTTTACATTGCCCCAGAGGTCCTAGATCGGTCACCTAGGCGTAGTTACGGAAAAGCAGTGGACATGTGGAGTCTTGGCGTGATTCTATACGTCTGTCTTTGTGGGTATCCACCATTCGCCAAAGACTTTGGTCCACCATGTTTTGAAGATCAAATAAGGTTGGGAATATATCGATTCTACCCCCCCGCGTGGTGTCACATTAGTCATGAAGCCAAAGACTTAATAAGAGGCTTATTGACTGTCAATGTAAGTGAAAGATTAACAGCTTCGCAGGCTTTAGAACATCCTTTCATGCAGGTAAATTCATTCGTAATAAATTTTTTTTTTGTTTCTCTGATTTACAAATATTATTTATAACAAGGGATTGTTTATTCTTTTATTATTTAAACTTTAAATATTAATACCAGGCTCTACCATTACATCAGTCCATTCCTGTTGTTCCAGATGTGGTCAATGCACCTGTTTTACCACGAGTGAATAGCAACGTCCAACCAAGCGATGAAGTTAAAACGATTTTCGCTCAGAAACTTTCTGCTCTATCTAAACGCGCCGAATCTGGCGATGACGTAGATGATACAAACGATGTCAATGATGCATCATTTGTTACTGCCGATACGATCGTATCATCCAGTTATTTCTCCCGATCCAGTCCTCCAGTTCAGGATGAATCAATTTATTATTCGGCCATTGAATTCAATTCTTCAAGTTTCGGTAGCCATAGTAGTGGTGGTAGTTTTACCTTCTGAATGAAAGTGGGCTCAGTTTTTTCACACTTTCCCAATTATATAGAATTAAAAAAAATGTCTGAAATGTTTAATGATTGTATTGCAATTTTTTTATTTTTAATTCGATACTAAAATAATTAACTTGCAATAGTTTTTATATAAAACGTGTAAATAAATTTTGTGCGCTGTTACATTAGAGCAAGATAATTTGTTACACCAGTGAATACAGATTTTTATCATGTTATAAACTCTGATTATCAAATAATTTATCTGTTAAAAATGAACGAACATACAACGATGTGCCTTTTAAAAAAACGGCGAGGTAGACCACCAATAACGGTCGCAAGTAAAATTCGTTCGATTTTTTCACTGTCTCCCATAGAACAAACTTATTTTCGAGATTTCTCAGATACTTTTATTCCACAAAAAAATTTTCCCGACATTTGGGCTTCACGAGGTACTAACGACGAAAACGGTGTGAGTATCGTACCCTAATAATCTTACTGGTGAGTTACTTTATTTAGAAAGGTTCTTTTACGTTGCTAACCAACTTTTAAATTCATTATTTTTGTTTAAATATAGAAAACACCGCTCCAAGCTTAATCAAAACTGCGGATCAAGTTAATGAAACGACTGTACCGCTTCGTTTAAAGTTGGTCGTACGTGATGGGACTGAGGATAAATCCAATATGGTTGGTTAATTAAATATTCTGTACTAGTTATCTATATTCTTTTACTCATTATACGTTGCTTTAAAGGTTTCAGTGAAGCCACCAAGGAAAAAGAAGCCTATTCCGATGGATCACAAAGAAGAGTCAAACCTCCTATTAAAGTTAGAAAATATTGAGAGTCCTATGTCACCTAAAGCATGTAGATTAAAAAGAAAATTACATCTCAGAAGGGTATGTAACAAAAATCATATTTTACGCGCATATAAGTTTAAAATTCATCATCCTTTAAATTTAGTTAAAGCGAAGATTAGGTTTAAAAATATTTGACATTGACGCAGCTGTTTCTGATCAAATGAGATCCACGTCTGCATTAGAATTGATGACAACAGTAGAGGAAGACCTTCATGAATTAAAGAAAAATGAAGTTAAAAATTTTGAAGTTAATAAAACGTCTGTAGAGTAAAAGTTGGTTAAATGACCTAATTCATTAGTGAATTTTTTGAATGATTTCGATTTCGACATGTAA